GTTTACAATGGCAGAGGACGCAACGTCGGCCTCTCGGTGGACCCTTGCAGCAATCTTTGCATATGTACCAGATGTTCTGAGAGGCTTAGTCTCGACAAGAGATATTTGAGCTACAGGTACCGAGGGTTGGTGTTTGGCTGCTCCATCCTTGTTAATACTAGATGTCAGGTCTAGTGGAATTTGCTTAACCAGACGTTTTGAATGGTGCCTGATTTTCGTTGCTGTGAGTACTGTTTGACTCTCTTAGGTACAGGCTGTTTTCGCCCGGCGTTCTACCAAAGTTGGAGAAGCCAACAGATATGGTGACGTGGCTGGTTGAGGTTCATGGCAAGCGGATTGTTCAGCATTCCTTTGCTCAGCAGCCGCTACGCTTCTGTGGTGCATACTCGCTTCCATTGAAGTAAGCTTATTGTTGATCCTCTGCTCTGCTTCTGCGATTAACCGGTCGCATTTCTCAGCTAGGATAAGCAAGCACTTAACGAGGGGGATGGTGGAACACGCAGTACAGAACCAAAATGCATCTTGGGAGCTATTTCGCTCCCGTAACTGTTGTTGGGACACATTTGCACATTTCGTATGGTACCATTCCAAACAGTGCGAACAAGCCAGACCGATTTTTACTACCCGATGACATTCTCCTAACCCGCAAATGCCTTTCGATGGGAGTCTCTTCGGTTTCGCCTTTCTGCCATTCAATTTGGTGTCGTTACCTGACCCAGTGGGTTGGTTAGCGTTCTGTACTTTTACAGCTTTGAGAGCGGCGCACATCGGTCAGGCGAGCGTGGTGGTTGCAAGGTCAAATGAGCGGTCGGCGTGGTCGCGCGGTCCGTGTGATGGGTTATGCAGCCGCACTGGCTGACAAGGTCACAAGAATGGGCGAGTGACTGTAACCTGAACAGAGCGCTGAACACAGATTCTTTCACAGCTGTGTTGAGAAACACTGGATCGGAGTAAGCTTAGGCTTTTCGGCCTGCCTTGAGAATTCTGTATCGAATGGTGTCACACAGAAAGGCAATCGGCTCAATACGATTGAATTAAACGCTTGCGCTTAATCACAGATGCCAGTGAAAACGGTTAGTGATGGCACAGCCTCTAATCGTAGAAGATATTTCCACGTATGATGGATCACTGTGTAGAGCTGGTAAATCCGGTTCGAATGAGCGTACAGTGACAACGCTGCGAGAAGATGGAGAGAGGATAGAGGGAAATAATCCAAATGAACCAGTAGCACGCAAGTCACGCGTGTGTGAGGATGACCTTGATCTGTGTGAGGATGACCTTGATTTTGCTGCCGCCGACCACGGGTGCTTACTTGAAAAGCTGTCATAGTTTAGGATATATCTCCAACCTTTGAATGGTTTAGCAAGATTTATTTGCAAGTGAAACTTCCGAATTAGAATCGGTGACTCCTGCTCAAGTAAGCGCACCACTTACAACGGTGTACCTCAGGGCACTGGTTTAGGCTAGCTGTTATTCCTTTTATATACCAATGAGTTGGCACTGTTCCTCGAGACTACTTTCTATGTCTTTACAATGGTTCAGTGGTGTATGATGGGATAAAAAGCATAACTTTACAAGACCCACAGGATGGATATGCAAAAGAAAAGTAAAATCAAAATGTTCCAACCGTAGAACGTAAAGTATCAGTGGTTAAATCATTGCACTTTAACAAGTGTTGTGTATCGTTTATCACTAAGATGAAAATCTAAGAGTCTTTCGAATGCCGTCATGTCTGGTGCGTTCACCACATAGTTTGGTAATGCATTCCAGTGAGGACAGATTCTAAGTGATAAAAAATACTTTCTACAATTCAAACGAGAGTGTTGCGTCATTAGTTTCAGGTGGTTGCCTCGCTTTTGTTTGTATGGGGCTAGAGTCAACCGGGATGTACATGGATGCTCGCTTTCGGTTAATATCCGGTATGTGAGAGTAAGATCTCCGCGAAGCCGTCGGTATTCTAATGAGAACACCCCGAGTACACGAAGACGCATTTCGTAACTTATACCGGATAGTCCACGCGTTGCTTTTGTGGCTCTTCTTTGGGGCTGTTCCAAGAGGCGGATGTCTCGTTTTAACCATGGACACCAGGCTTGAATTGCATATTCAACATGAGGACGAATGTACGAGTTCATCAACAATGGTACTAGCTGTCGCTCAAAAGTGCCGAGAGCTCGCCTCAAAAGTCTCAAGTTCAAGTTCGCTACACTTGCTGCTTTCGAACATTGGATCGAATTTCCAAGACTCTCTTGCACGATTATACCTAGGTCGCGTTCACTAGTCACGTGTTGCATGACATGTTGCCCCAAAAGGCATGTGTTGACGAAGCTGCTGCGCACTGTCAGTAGGTGGCACTTTGCAGCGTTCAGTGGGAGCTAGTTCTTTGCTGCCCAATCGTTAATCCGGGTCAGATCTTCCTGGAGGCAGACATGGTCGGATGCTGGGCGAATAGCTCTCCATATTTTAGCGTTGTCTGCAAATATTTGCATTGGAGATAGAATGTCTGCTGGAAGGTCATTAATGTAGACTAAAAATAGTAGCGGGTCGAGGACGGATCCTTGTGGAACACCAATGGAGACAGGGTAACAACTGTAAACAGGGGCGGTCAAGACACGTTATAGAAAAGACCATCGCACAGTAGCGAGACGACATTTCTCATGAGATTTGCCCCTAATGATGATAAATGTAAGTTGTTGTCTTCCAGCATTGATGGGGTTACGGTGCAAACTACGGACCGTACCCTGATATTACGGTTGTTGACAAGGCTGGAGACTTGGGGGTCACTATAAAGGGTACTTTCATAGCTTAATCCATGTGTCAGCACGCCGCCAACAAGGCGCTGCAGGAATTATTCCGACAAGCAACTTTTATGCAGCACCAAGTTAGAGGATTTTCCTACAATTTATAAGGCAGTGGTAAGACCTCATCTAGAGTAAGGTGTGCACGCATGGGTGCCGTGGTCCAGGAAGGATGTGACTTGTATAGGTGACAAATAGGTTGATGGGACAGCGGGAAATGACACGACGAACGCCTGAGTGGCCTAGGATTGATATCTATGGAGCGACGCACAGAACGAGATGAGCTGATAGAAACTTTCAAGGTTATGAAGTGCATCAGAGAAATCAAGCCCACCAATTAGTTTGAACTTACTACATCCTACCAGATACGGGGTCATGAAGGCAAGATTAAGCATCGGACGTCCCGGTTGGAGGTTAGGGCAAAGCTCTATGCAAATCGCGTTGCTAATAATTGGAAGTGCCACTGTAAGAGCCTTCAAAAACTGCCTGGATACGGGTTGGCCGGAGCTTATTCCTGAATTATCTTAAATGTATTGGCAATTGTAATAGAGCGTGGGGTCCATGAACCAAGAAAGTACTGAGGTCGCTCCTGCCTTGCTTCTCTTCTTGAAGTGGCATGGAACACAAGTCAGAAGATGAAATTTGCCCTTCATTACAAGAAACAGGACGCTGGTTGGGCAAGAGCCTAAGTTTGTCCTGGGAAATTGACCCGAACAGGAGCGTTTTGGCAGTAGATATATTGAGCATAAAGATGTGTACGTACCAGGGTTAATGACAAGTGTAACTCTAACCAAAACCCTTAATTTAGCTATGGATATATTAGTAACTTCACTAGCATAAACTAGTCCTGACTATGGGTTTTGACTAAAGGCTGAAAAGAACCTAACCCCAATCCAAACCGCAGTTCAAACCCACCACCCGTCCTTGCCCCTATTCGAGGGACCGTCGAATAAGTCACCAACAATCAATGGGATTTGGACAGTGTTGCTACGGTACAGCCGCTATGCGGTAAGGGACGATGCCATATCCGCAGTAGGGTGGTTTTTCAGCTAAATTATAAGGCGCTTAATAAGGGCGGGCATAGGGTAGTGATAGCGCGATGGATAGCCAGCAGGGCGGCCTGGGTTCAGATTCAGAGTGTACTGACCCTTGTACTCGCTTAAATAAATAAATAAATAAATAGTATATTCTCTGTAAAACGAGACACACCTCTAAAAGGCATGATCAAATATGCATACAAGCATAGCTTCTTTGGAATATTAAAACATTTCGTTACAATGAAAGGAATAAACGAAAAGATGTAGTCCATAAGAGCGAGCATATTGTCAGGTAATAGTCAGACCAAGGATCATAATGGCGCCGTGGCGCGCAAAGCTGTTGCGTCAAGATACAAGTGGGGGGTAAATTTGCCATGTAGTGATCCATCAGCACAGGAGCCCGAACAAGGTTTAGTGCAATCGATGACCATTACGAAGCCGGGATGATCTGTACTGCACTAAAGCATTCTTCATAGCAGAATCAGTTGCACAGGTTGGATGTAGGAGGCTGAGGACTGCGTCAGTGTGAAATGTATAGCTGTGACTTTATTTTGTAGGCGAGTCACATCCGCCACGTTGCAGTGTTGTTGAGCGGACATTTGTGGCTTTTTATAGGGAGAACGCTTGCCAGGCGAAAACCCACCACGTCCTGGAACACTGTCGTAGCTTCCGTTGAACTGTAGTGCTAGTCGGCTATGCATCGTATAGACCGATTTTGCACTCTATTATTCGCAGTCGGTTGACAGCCCAAATTTTTTCGGTGGTTGGCCAAATGGCTTAGTACTGAACCGGCAATAGTCGTTGAAGCCAGTCAATGATGTAAAAGAGTCGCAGAGTCGAATGATAATGATGTGGGTGAGTAAACATATTGTTAATAGAGGCCGGCTTTTTCTATTATATTGTCCGGCTCGCAACCCGTGTCCAGCTATCCATGCTGGACTTGTCATAGGGACGGTGAGTGCAGTTGTTTCTTGTGTCTGAATATGTCCCAAACAGGAATAAATGCTATCCTCCGCGAAGTGGACAAGTATTTCCTTCAAATGTAAGTGTAATTGTTTCCATGACCAAGTGAGAACTCCAGGAAAAATCATCGGAAAAGACGCTTATGCGCGCGCAGTGCTGTCCGTGAAATGACATCAGAAAAGCTCCAGGTGACTGGAGAATCGGAATGTTTGAGGCAGTGAAGGTAAGTCACGCCAGAATTGTCAGTCTCCGGTTGTGGAACAGTGGATCCATTGTGAGTACGAGGCGAGCTAAACCCATTTGTTTAGACCCCGTGGTGGTAGCTTCTCCAGAATGGCGGAAAGAGCTCCATTTGGAACGATGTGTGGGTTCTTCACCTCCCGGAGAAAAGAACAAGCATGTAAACCAGCTGGCTATTGAAAGTGGGTCGACTATTCCCAGTGGATAAACCTTCTTGTTTTAGGCGGATGTATCTGTGGAAATCTCGGCAGAAAACGGGCAACGGACAAGAGGCAGCCAAACAGAAAGACAGCAACGAAGCAAGAAGCACAAACACAGACTGGTGGCGCGCAACGGTATAAATACTAGACTTGGTACGATACAGAGAAGACTGCGAGAGTTTCTGCGCAGGTAACATATAAAACACAAGACCTTATAATTGTTCTACATTTGAATCTCCACAGGAAGGTTTTTCCGCATTTCAGTATCATTCTTGCACTTTGATTTAGGTTAGGATAGGAACCAAGCTCGCATATCTCACAGCCTACATCCATGCGCTATCGCTTATTCACTATAACACTCGTTCTCAATAAAATTATACCACCATTTCCATTTTTAATTTACCCTCCTTTAAAGACAATTTTTCAGGGTTGGGCACTTGCACTGCATTTCCATACATACGTTTGGGACCACTAATTGCGTCCGCTCTCATATCTTTCATTAGATGGACACCTAGGACTTGGCAGTTCATGGGTAATTACACTTGATAATATATATATATATATACGCATTATATAGTAAATTTGCATTTTTCACCGATACAGGGCGCGGGGAGAATCCAAACCGCGTTGGACCAGATGCACAATTGGTCGGCCAAAGGCCAACCACCCGTTAACTACGACAAATGTGCTGTTTTCTGATTAGTAACTCCGGTTCATTCGGTACGTTACACCGTGGCGAATGTCTTATCAGGCATGTCAAGCATGAGAAGGATCGGGGGGTCAGGTCAGGTCAGGTCAGGTCAGATGGACGATAGAGGCTTCCGCCAAACGAGCGTCCAGTTCTTGTGCCGGTAAGTGAAGCGACCCCCGGCACTTCGACGTTGGATTGTCTCCTCTTGCTTCTGCAACGGAATGAAGCAAGAACAAGAGCAAGCTCTGCACTTTCATATGCCAGCCTCAAAATACACTACATATTAAAGTACAACTACAATATCTCTGGAAAAAGGATGGACCAACAATTGTCTAAGCCCCTTTTGAAGGCTTCTACGGTCTCGGACTCCACTAAATCAGAAGGAAGTTTATTCCAGTAGTTAACTACCCGGTTCGTAAAAAACTTTGCCCTGATGTCCAAACGAGCTCTGTGATGTTTAAGCCTCAGGCGATGCCCGCGCAGATGGTCTGACGTAGCCAGCTCAAACAGATGAGTGGAACTAATACCACTAAGTCCCTTAATGATCTTAAACGTCTCTATCAAATCTCCTCTCAACCTACGCCGTTCCAGGGAAAATAATCCTAAGCTCCTTAGACGATCTTCATAAGACTTCCCTCGTTGACCTTCAGTCATCCTGTTCCCAAGTTTCTGTATCTTTTCTATACAAGTGATGTCACTACGGAGGTACGGTGACCAGGCCTGAACACAATACTTCAGATGCGGCCTGACCACTGCTTTACATAAGGGCAAGAATACTTCTGCTTTAGTGTTACTCAGCGCCCTCCTAAGACGAAATAATTCGTGTCGTGCTTTATTGGCAGCATGGCGACACTGTGTCGAAGGCTTAAAATTGTTCGCTACGATGACACCTAGATCACGGGCTTCGTCAGTGCACCGCAATGATAGAAATCCCACAGGAGACTGAACTGCAATTCCGCTACCACTACTAGTCAATAGTTGACATTTGTTGGCATTTAGAGGTAGGTCCTATTGACTTGACCAATTCACCACAGTGAGAAGGTCCTTAGCCAATGTCGCACGGTTACCCCTACTGACTAGCTTCAAGTCATCTGCGAAGATGTAGCAGGGGTCCTCAAGAAGAGGAGCCAGGTCATTTATAAACATAAATAAATAAATAAATAAATAAACGGTATATTCTCTGTAAAACGAGACACACCTCTAAAGGCATGATCAAATATGCATACAAGCATAGCTTATTTGGAATATTAAAACATTTCTTTTCAATGAAAGGAAGAAACGAAAAGATGTAGTCCATATGAGCGAGCATATTGACAGGTGATAGTCAGATCAAGGACCATGATGGCGCTGTGGCGCGCAAAAATTTTTGCGTCAAGAACCAAGTGGGGGGTAAATTTGCCGTGTAGTGATCCATGAGCACAGGAGCCCAAACAAGGTTTAGTGCAAGCAATGACCATTACGAAGCCGGGATGATCTGTACTGCACTAAAGCATTCTTCATAGCAGAATTAGTTGCACAGGTTGGATGTAGGAGGCTGAGGACTGCGTCAGTGTGAAATGTATAGCTGTGACTTTATTTTGTGGCGAGTCACATCCGCCACGTTGCAGTGTTGTTGAGCGGACATTTGTGGCTTTTTATAGGGAGAACGCTTGCCAGGCGAAAACCCACCACGTCCTGGAACACTGTCGTATTTTCCGTTGAACTGTAGTGCTAGTCGGCTATGCATCGTATAGACCGATTTTGCACTCTATTATTCACAGTCGGTTGAAAGCCAAAATTCTTCCTTCGTTGGCCGAATGGCTTAGTAATCATCCGGCAGCAGTCGTTGAAGCCGGTCACTGTTGTAAAAGAGTCGCAAAGCTGAATGAAATTGATGCAGGTGAGTAAACACATTGTTAATAGAGGCCTGCTTTTGCTATTATATTGTCCGGCTCGCCACGCGTGACCAACTATCCATACTGGACTTGTCTTAGGGACGGTAAGTGCAGTTGTTTCTTGAGTCTGAATATGTCCATAACAGGAAGAAATGCTATTCTCCGCAAAGTGGACTAGTAATTTTTTCAAATGTAAGTGCAAGTGTCTCCATGGCCAAATGAGAACTCCATGAAAGATCATCGGAAAAGCCGCTTATACGCGCAATGCTGTCCGTGAAATGTCATCAGAAAAGCTCCAGGTGACTGGAGAATCGGAATGTTTGAGGCAGTGAAGATAATCACGCCAGAATTGTCTGTTGTGGAACAGTGGATCCATGTAAATACATTATTCCAGGTAAGTAAAGTGTTCTACTGTGAGTACGAGGCGAGCTAAACCTATTTGTTTAGACCCCGTGGTGGTAGCTTCTCCAGAATGGCGGAAAGAGCTCCATTTGAAACGATATGTGGGTTCTTCATCTCCCGGAGAAAAGATCAAGCATGTAAACCAGCTGACTATTGAGGGTGGGTCGACCAGTCCCAGTGGATAAACCTTCTTGTTTTGGCTGATGTATCTGTGGAAATCTCGGGAGAAAACGGGCAACGGACAAGAGGCAGCCAAACAGAAAGACAGCAATGAAGCAAGAAGCACAAACATAGACTGGTGGCGCGCAACGGTGCTTATGATACATTAAAATTTATGTAATTTTGTTTAGTATACCCGCTTTGCAAGCGCGTTCTTTACATCACGTCGCTGGTGTGACTCAAACTACAACTACTAGGTAGAAAGAAGGATCTGCACGCGCAGGGTCAAGAGACGGATATAACAAAGCGTGTTGACAAAGTTAAGCGATTAATATGATTGTTGGAGAGTAACAGGTAAACCGATGATGATGACAGCAGACCGAATGCGAGCGGCATCTTCGGTGAAACTAAGGACAACTAGGTTGAGACCGAATGCGAGAGCAACGTAAGTAAAGCAACGTTGCAAGAAGAAAAGGAAATTTAAAGAATCAGCTATGAGCGGAAGAATGCGGACGGCAGTGCGAAGAGTAACTCGTGAGAGCAATTAGGAGACGATAGTCAGGACGAAAAAGGTTTACTACTAAAGTTTGGTGAAGCCAAGGACGCTCTTGTGCGAAGTATGAATCGATCAGTTCTGAAAAATTACCGGTAATATCCCGATAGTCTGAGAAATAGCAATGGACCCAGAACCGAACCTTGAGGGACACCGCTGTAGGCATGACCAACACTAGAACTCGCTTCCCCAAAGTTGACTCTGAATGTCCTTTCACGTAAGAATTTAGACAGCCATAGTAGTAGTTGAGGATGCAATCCAAACCATGTCAGCTTCTCAATTAAAAATCGATAATTCACGGAGTCAAAGGCTTTACCGAAGTCTAAATAGCACACCTCTACCGATATCCCACCATCAATACAATGGGTAATCTCGTCTAAAAAGCACAACAAATTGGCAAGACAAGACTTCTTTTTGAGAAAGCCATGCTGTTCCGCTCTAATTAGATTGTGCTCAGTCAAGTGCTCACAGATCCTGTTCCTTATAAGCTTTTCCAAGCATTTCAGCATGATGCTGGTCAAACTAACAGGTCTATAGTTAAGAGCCACCGACTCAGAACCCCCTTGTGGATGGCAACGATAGTCGCCTCCTTCCAATCACGTGGCAGCTTGCCTTCTTGAAGAGACTGGTTGAATAACTCCACTACGGGATACTGGAGGATATCAGCCAGAGGCTTAACTATGGCGGGATGTACGCTATCAGGACCGGCTGATTTATAAGGGTTCAAATTGGCCAGCACAGTGAAGACCTCTGACACATTGAGAATAATTTCCCGCATTGTGTAGCTAGTTGAGCAGTGCGGTAGTGGTGGCAAGGCTGACCCACTATCCTTCCGATGCAGGCTTTGGTAGACACGTAGCAGCACTTCTACTTTATCGACGTCGTCTACAGCCTGGGTACCGTCCTCCGTGGTTAGACAGCCGTCCGCCTCTCTTAAAGAATCCATTTGCTGGACATAACTGTAATAACACTTGGGATTAGTTTTCGCAAGTTTGGCCAACCTAAGCTCATATGAGTACTTCGCCTGCCGCTGTAACTTAATAGCCATGTTTCGACTCTTTTGTACTGCAGCCAGCGTCGAAAGCCCCAAGTTTCTCGATATTTTCTCCACTCAGCATTGCGCCTCTTTATCGCTCTATCTATTTTTCTTCTCCACCATCGGGGTTTCCCAAGATGTCTCCTGGGGCGAAGAGGAGCAAATTCATTCAGCAACTGTACAAGTCCACTTTTAACTAGAAGCCACCTCTGTTCCAAAGTGGCCTTGTCCTGTTCAGGGACCCAAGTGATCTGAAGGGCTCGATCC